GCGCTTGTGCGTTTCACTTTCCCATTGTGAAAGTGGGATGCAACTGGCCCCCTTCTTCAACCTCTTCCTCCTCCGCCCTCCGCCTCCTGTCCGCCCGCCCTCCCTCCCTCCACGCCCATCTCCCCTCCTCTCTTGATTCGGTGAGATAGGGAGGAGGGAGGTCTCGTAATTTGGGTTACTGTGTAGGTGGCCTCTTTCATCTATTCAAAACAAAGCTGAGCCGCCAGCCTCTGCCGCCACGGCTGCCACCATCGCCCCCTTGGCTCTCCGGGGCTCCCGGGGAGCGCTAACACTGCACCCAGCGAGCTCCCGCACGCTTCGGCCCGCTGGGCTGCTCCAACGCTGGGGTTTTGTTTACCAGAGCAGCCAGGGCGGGAGAGGCAGGCGGGCGGATACGCCAGGCACCCGGAGCCTGGACCCTGGGCACCAAGGGGTTGAAGCTGAGGCCGGAGGCTCCAGCTACAGGGAGGCTGACAGGTGTGGAGCGGCGTGAGAGAGGCCCTGGGGAGGCGCGCGGGAGACGTGGACGAGCCAGAGACTCGGGGGACCAAGGCGCCCCTGTTAATTGGGGATGGGTTGCCCTGGCCAGAGGAGTGAGCTGGGGGAAAGGCAGACGCCAAGACTGTTACTGGACAGTTCCCTGGGCTAGAGCTCCCATATTTGAAAAGGTTCTCTAATCTCCCTTGGCAACGGAGTCCCAGGCTCTCAAACCTAGCGCTTTGAAAGTTCTGCTCACTATCTGACCTTAATGATCATGCCTACCATTTATTGAGCACTTACTATGTTCTGAGTGGGCACTGTTCTAAATTCACTACATGGATCAAGACTCATTTAATACCCATAACAACTCTTAATTAGTGACTATGAACACCCCCATTTAGTAGTGAGAAGGATCATGGAGAGGTTATGGAACTTGCTGGCATCCTACTGCTGCTGGTAAACAGCGGAGTGTAGATTTGAATCCATGTCTAGCTCCGGGGCGAATACACATCCCGCTCTAGCCAAGTGCCACCTGTGGCGGTTACGATACCCAGAGATCATCCTCAGCAGTTGTGACTAAAAAGTTCCCCAAGTTAAATGCTCCAAACTCCCCTCCCCAGCCCAGCCTTCTAATCTTAGAGCCACCAACCCTTATTTCCCTAGAGGCCTGCCGTCTGTCTCATCCTTCTCCACTTCTTTTCTTTGGATCCTCTGAGGTCTCATCAACTCATGTAAGGGGCAAATGCCACTTACTTGCCCCAAAGGCACCAAGAATCTGGAACACAATGAGTTTCTAAATCATGAATCACTGTACACCTGGGTAACTACCTCTTCCGGGTGAAGGATAAGGATGTCTCAGAAGGGAGACTCCTAGAGGATGCAACAATGCCTCCCACCTTCCCGAGGCAGCTGATAGCACCACCAGCACCACAGGCACCAGTCTGGCAGGTGATCCAGGGTGGGCACCAGGGGATCCTGAGGACCCCAGTGCGTCCCGGGGAAATGATCTCTGTCCCTTCCCAGGCTATTTCCAGGTCAGGGGCCCAGGGAGGATAACTGGTTGCACCCACTTTCTCCCCCCCCTCCAGTTCCCCAACTCTAGATGGAACCTGGTTTGGGTGTGGTTTGGGGTGAGTGGGCTTCCTCCAGATGCTGAGCCCTCCTGAAGAAGCAGCTGCTGCAGGTTTTAAACTTCTACAACAGGGCTTCAAGTTCTGCCCGAGGCCCGCAGTTAAGGATCATATCTTTCCATCAGTGGCTCTCATATTCTGAATTTAGAGAGGTCATCTTTCCATTCATAATTTCCTTCTTTGACATTGGGTAACATTATCTTGCCTGCCAGTAGGCAGCAAATGCTTTTCCACGAGATACAAGGTCGCTCTTTCTGCTGTGGTGACAGTGGTTGGGGTGCCGGAGAGGAGAGTGGAGGAGGAAGGGGGAAAGCCTGAGATACTGGTTTGATGTTAATCAAGAGATCTTAGGCAAGGCAAATCGCATGCCCTCTCTGCTCCAAAATACTCAGGCCTTGCTCCCCATTGCCTGCCCATCTGAAATGTTTTAAAATTTTTTGCACTGCTGGAAATGGAAAAAATCGTATCTAAGAAACATCTGCAGAAGCTCACTGAGCCCTTCATGGCATAGTAGGGGATCTGTGTGCTGGTATTTTGAACATTTTCCCGTGACTGATGGAGAACACACTGATCTTCACTGCCGTCATGAGCCGGCTGTGGCAGTGCTGTTATGTGCTGAGAAGCAACATTTCAATTCCATTGCAGAGATAGTTTTACTTCACTGGTAACCAAGTAATTTCTCTAAGTCCTGCAGAGTTGGTACAATCAGTAGCAGACCATCTTGGGAGCTATTTGGATTAAACATGCTCCATGGCGAGGCATTTTGATCACTACTCAATTCATTGCTGCCTCGTTTTGAAAAAGAAACACCTTAAAAATACTACCAGCAAGATGTATAAATGGCTTTGATGGATGGCTACAGTTTCTCGCCATTCTACTGGGACCAGAATCCCCACTCGTGAGAGCAGACTTCTTCTCCCTCCCATTTAATTGTATGCTATGGCGAAAGAAATCTGATTCTGTGCCTACTTTGGGGCATGAAAAGTGTAGGAGACTAGGAAACATATAAATGTGTTCTTCACTGATTCTGCCCCATTTTGTAAAAGCATGTTTGCCCTTTCCAATCTTCCTGTGTACTAAAGCTCCACCTTCAGGACACAAGTTCACATTTGAAAAGTGTGGGAAATACGAACAACCGAAATAAATATTTAGGCATGTGGATTCTGTATGCCTTTGATTTCTTCCTTTTGGGTACTGCTGTCTGGCCAAGAGGATACTGCTGTCTCATTAGTGACAAAACTTCCCTTTGCAACTGATGGAGCCCATCCCACTGGGGGTCACTTATTGCACACTCAGAACTCCTTGTAACAACTGGTTGAACCTCCTCCCCCCAAAAAAACAAAAAGAAGATCATGCAGATTTATGATCTTCAGACAGAGGCCTGCTACCACGGAAACAGGTAGTTCAGACTGATTCCGAGCAGTTTTATTTGTAGCATTCACTAAATGGGAAAGTCTTCATAATGAGAAAGTATCAACTCCCTCAGGCACTAAAGGCAATCTGGGTTAACCAGGCCATCCACAATCAGACTCATTTCTGCTGGACAGGACTTTATAGATTCAGTGGTTTCCTGCTGGGACTCGGGACATTAAGAACTGTTCAGTAGGCAATTGGTCACAGTCACAAGATGGCTATCATTGGTGCTTCAGTTTTCTTTCTGCCTTTTTTTTTTTTAAATCTCACAGCCTTCTGTAGGGATGATTGGACCAGCAGGGATGGAAAGCAATGAAGATTAGTTCTGGCGGTCAACAAATTGTCTTTACGCCTTGTCTACATAGCTACACCCCCTGGGCAGCATTTGGAAAACACTATCCAGGGGGTCGAATAGTACCAGTGTCGTCCTTCTAAGACTTAAGACAGGTCACTTCCTTCTCCACAGCTCTGCTCACATCTATGTGGTCTTCCACACAGAGGCCCTTATCAAAGCTCCCAGCCCCTATTTGGTGACTGACAGGAAAAAGAAATGAGCCATCCTCCTTTCTCATCTGCTGATGAGTAGATGGTTGAAAGCAGATAAGATGAAGAACCATTTAATAAGTTTGAATTGAAGCTGAGAGGCGAGTTGAATGCAGTTCAATCAACATGAAAACTCAGTCAAACGCAGCACAGTTAAGAAGTGGCTGAAGGACTGCAACATCACCTTCCCTGCTCATCTAACATGGCCCCAGGCAATCGCTGAGCATTCTTATGCTTGATGATAAGTGCCTGTGCCTTTGGTTAAAGTAATGAAGGTTCCATGGTGTTCCTTCAGTAGGTGGAATTTGGGTTCACCCCACCACCACCCCCGCAACATTACAATTGTCCCCTTTTCCCACATCATGGCTTAACAGCTCATGGTCATTCACCAGCAGAGTTACAATTTTGATGGGAGAATAGATTGGATGTACAAGGAAACAGTTCATTACTCAAGGTCAAAATGACTTCCTTTAAGCTAAATAAGGGCCTATACTCAGCTCTAGGGATGGATGAACTATTGCCTATGTCAGATGGTTTGAAGAGACTGCTGTTTAGGACATCAACCTGGCACCCTAGTACCTCACTTCTCATGTAGTATCTACTCCATGTCATGAAGTTTCTCTTGAGCCCTTTCTTCAAAACATTCTCCAAAACAATCACTGGTCAAGAGTCTCAGACCAGTTGAAAACAAAATGTGGTAAATCATTAGCCATCACAGTGTTTTTCCAGGCCAGCTAGAGTTCACCCTGCATGAAGTACACAAATTCATTGGTTAATTATGTCTTCAGATTTGGGGAATCTCTGTAACTGAATGAGCCATCTCTTGGTCTCTAGCCGTTCACTGATTTTTCACAAAATTCAAGTCTGTTCCTGCTCATATTTTTCTTGCTGTTTTTTTGAAATATGAAGCCAAAAGGGCACCAAGAACTAGACACAAAATGCTGACCCCTCTTTAATCAATGTCTTTTCCCATGTCTCTGTTCTGCCATTACAGTTAGGAGACTCCCTGTCAGCATATTCCTAGGCCCCGAATCCTCTGATAACTGGCAGCTTGGCATAAACCCATTCAAAGAGAAGAGCTGCCAGAAACCAGGCCCTCATATTAATAATAACTCAAAATCTTGAAATGAATAGCAGAAGATAAGATGAACACACAGATAACATCAGAGTCACTCATCCTTCTGTTTCTTGTGATTCTGATGGGAAGATGCTCTGAGCTGACAATAAAGTTGCTGGACTTGGCAGTGAGCGGTCTAGTGCTCACCACCAAGCTGGCAC